GGCATACTAAAGTTGCACAGATAACAACCAATTCCATTAGTGAGTAGTTGCATAATATCGAGAATCAGTTGAAATTAGATGTGTAGGTCACTAAATCCCGAACCAACAGTTTGATGGATTTGGTACTCATCAGAAAACCCGATTCTCATGAGTATGATCCTTGCTAGGGTAATGGTTGAGAAATGTCGAAGATTACCACTCTAAGACAGATAGCTATCCGTTCCCTACAAATCGTTTTATACCGAATTAAGTTCGTTACTAGTATATATTTAACGATTTTTATTTGCACTATTGATGAGTAGTATAATTAATTTTGAAAAACGTGTGGCCATAGTTCTTCAGTTACCATCAAATACATTCTTACAAACAATTCACTTATGGCTGGCAGTAACGCATGTTTGATAACGAATAATTTCACCCATACCGTAAACATTTCGAAGTAAATAAACTAAATTAATTTGTCTTTGTTCAACGTAATCAAAAATTCATAAAGTGGAGGCATGTTTTAATATTACTCTACATTAACTGCAAATTTATACACGTTTTCTCGAAAACCCAAGTGACGTTTAGTAATCTTTGAAATCTTTAGACGTCATTAGCTTCTTCTGACCTGGATTCAACTATGTTACCCAATAGCTGAGAATATTGATAATAGCTTAGAGACTGAATTAAAGTGGCTTCCTGAATCACTACATTGGTCTCGTTATGTCGAACAAATTGCTCGTTAAGATATCAAAAATGGGCATTACACAATTGACGTTACTTCCATTTGTGTTAAGCAATTTATTTGTTCATGCTGAAGAACAAATTAAAAGAAAAGGAAAGATAGTTTTTATTCGCATTTCAGAGAATGTTCCCCGAAAATCGAGACTAAGAGGTCAATATACTTCTGATGGTGCTATCCGCCATCATTTACTTGATAGTGGACAAAAAGTTGACATTTCAAGATCATTCAAAATTACCAATAAGAAAACAGCTTTGAAATTTTCGCATTTTGCCGAAATCAAAAGGTTTAGACTGGATTAATGTATTCAGAAAGAGATTGCTATCAATCTTTTACTGGTTCGATTACATTTAATTGTGTAACATCTCATTTTGTATTTGTAATTACAAATTTATTTCATCCAGACTTTCTTAAATCTTATCTGAGCTTTATTCGTCTTCATATGGTCAGTTCTGTCATTTTTTAGTTATTGTTATGTAATTTTTGACGTTACTTTTGTCTTCTATAGGAAAATATCTATCCAAATGAACATCACTAAAAATTCTCATAAACTTATCGTATTTCTGTCATTCTTCACTTGATGAGAACTTTTTAAAGTATGTACAGTCCTGTATCTTAGTAACTAATATTAGTAGTTCCAGATTGTAAGCAGATAAAGAGAAATCATGAAATAAATGAATTCGTGTTGTGCTGTTACGTTTGTTCATAATTTACGTAAATTTGACGTCAGCCTATTCATATTTCTTACCTATGAGTGCACGTGATCATGTTCATTGCTACTGATTGGTCTAGAAAGGAACATTTTCTCTTACTTAGGATTCTTGTTCGGATGTCAGCTTCCTCGGGTGAACTCAGGGTACAGACGAATACTAGGCATTTAAACTGGTCTTCTGTCATGGAAGACAACTTGAACCTCTCACATTCTCAATTCCCGATTCCTTCATGTTTCGCCCAGTCATCTCTTGGTTCTTTCTTCATCTCCAAGCATTTGTAACGGATATTAGATAGAGATGACTGTTCTCCAAAGATCTGAGATAAAATTTTAATTGTTTCATCAAAGTCTCATGGGAAGAACGAAGTTACTATAGAGTTCATGTCCCGTTATCCTAAGTGTTCTTAAAAGTATTCGGACTTTTGAGGCGTCATCCAGTCTGCAGAGATCAATATGCAACAGATCTTCATATTTCTTAAACCAAGAGTCAAAAGTAACAACTGCTACATCATCAAAGTCAAATTCATGGATTGCATTAGTGACTGAATCAATAGGGATACTTGTAGTTCACCAGAAGCAGGGTTTTGCTGGGGCAGACACATTTTCTGCATAAGGGCTTCCATGATTCTGATTTGAGACTGTTCAGACTGCTTCTCTTGACCTACATATAGGCTTCTAGGAGCCTCAAAGAAATATTCATTTTAGTTTTCCCCGTCGTCATGATAGATCTTCTAATTGAACGCTAGATTGAGTTCCTAAGCTCTCTAGTATCCCCCTCAGGCTAATCTACATAGCAACTTGAACACGAGAGAAAAGGCGCGAAATATGGAAGAAACACATTATTCCAAAGGTTTTTGTTTATGTACAGAAAATCTATGGTTTTTATAGTATTTTTGATGGCCTTGGGTCTACGGGAAATTCTGGAACGCTACTAAACATAGTAGCAGTATGGGTAATCATCCAATCAGAAACTGGACATGTGACTTTTCACTTTCTGAATGTTTCTGGCGAAATTTCTAGTGAATGCTAATTTGATAAGGTGCTTCTCAACGTCTTCAGAGCCTTTTTCGACATTTTTCGAGTTTTCTTGATCTCCCCAACAAATATTTAAGTCTTTTTGACGGTAGTAGCTTATGATGTTAACATAACCACATATAAAGGCATTGTATAATAGTTTAATATATTGATAGACTCCATTCGTTATTTGCTTATTAGCCATGATAATCAAGGTATGACAATATGATGTATGTAAAAGTTTGATATTAGAATTACTACAATAAACTGGATTGAAAATATACATTATTTGTATAGAAAGCATATAACACTACTTGAATCTTTCAACAATTAGTTAGCTAAACATATTATCTCATCATTATATCTACTCCGGAATCATATAAATGACAATAGTCCCCTGTAGAAAACGAAATATCGCGAAAACCTGCTTTTTTAACTTTGATGATCAACGAATTTATGATGGTGTCTAGATTAAAACAGATCAATATACAAGTCAATTATATAATGAACTAAATGTGTACAATTTAACATTTTTCATTCAATAATTACCTGATTTCTGATGTTCATAGTTTTCATATAAAATCGTAGGATAATTAGTTTAGTGAACGAAAGAGTTCATATTAAGAGTTGTTCAACCATTCATTAATAATAATTGATTGTTTTAACGAACAAACAGTAAATATTTCGGCGAGACTATAATTTATGAACAAACCAGTCAGATTTAAGATGACAGGTCTCGGATTTTGGCATGAAATTCACTCAGTCATTTGGTTAAATAGAGTTTTGGCATTATAGCTGAGGTCAGTTCGCGATGAAAACCCTAAGTCTAGTTCCTAATCTTCACCATTAACTGTAAATCACAATTCTGATTCCTCACGCTGGTTTATAACTTTCGTTTGGTCCTAGTTATTAGGTGGATACTCTCAAGGTCACTTTAGCGTCACTCGAAGGTAGTCCATAAATTATAAACTCACCAATATCTCTTTACTAACATTTCTAATGAAAAGAATTTCAATTAAAAGTTAATTTACATTGAAGAATGACTTTAATTGTAAAATGAAGCGGTTTTTGCTTCTTAGTTTCAGACTATTCTATAGTTTTTATTTTAACACATAGATATTGGTACAAGGAGGCACCAAATACATATGCGCTACACAAATCTCATTCAATATGTTTGAGGGCTGTGGTACTGCCCTATTCTATAGTGTGCATCTGAAGTATCACGAGAGAGTAAAAACCATAATAATTGTGTATCACTGGAGAGTATTATGACCATTCAGTTGGCATTGCACGGTTTTTTAATTCTTTTGTCTTCCGAACCTCAATCAGAATAAGAAAAAGACATATGATTTGCCAGTTAATTATGTGACTTTAAAACTCACACGATTATATACATAACTTACAAGATTCTAATTCATTACAAATAGGGAATCACAGTGTGTACCTATCTAAGACTCGGAAACTATGGGATCTAGTTTTTAACCTTAATGGGAGCACAAGTTTTCTCACAAATGCAAGTGAGTCTTTCTGACAAATACCAAATAGCACGAAACCAAGGTTTAGAACTCTCTTCCAACAATATCCAACCAACTAACATGATTAGTATAAACTTATCTATTAAGATTCTCCTTCCTAAATTCAATCATGTTAGCAACAATTCATCTGTAGATTTATTGCAAACCATACCAACTACCAAAGAATTAGAACTGTATCTCATAAACATACTACTGTAACCTCTTACACAAATATTTTATTTGCTTTCAACCGTGTTCTCTAAGACCAAAAAGAAAATAAATAAGCAAACCTGAAACTAATTCTCTGATAACTGTGTTTATATTTTAGTAAAGTTAACAAGATCAAATTTCAGTAGTCATCAAAAAAATAAGTTTAGTTTTATGTGCATAGATGTATGTGTTAATGTCCTTATGTATTTATGTGTGAGTGTGATTTTATTAGTAATTATGTCTCTGAATGATGGTACAATAATTTACAAAGGGATTTTTGTTAAACCATTGCCAAGCAAATAACTATTGCCATTATAACAACATAAATAGAAAGTACAGAGATAGCAACCTTAGCTTCTCTTCTTTTTTTTGTACTTTTACGACGTTATTTTTCTTCGTTAGTATAAAAAGTACAATGAATAAAAGTAGATTCGAATCAAGCACTTAACCGTAGATTGTTGATTAAACATTCCATGGAGATCAAATCCCTATTTTCTTCTAATTGTTTACATCAGAGTAATCAGTTAAATTCAACGAAAAAGAAACAGTATGCCAGATGCTGCGTCAATGCTCAATATTTAGTGTTGTCATGGTAAAATCACTTGATGATTGTGACCAATTCATAATACGACTATGAAAACAGTTAAGAATGGTTATGCTTAAGTAGAAGTCATCACTGTATGCCATTTATGTTGAATAATAAAATTATTACTTTTAACTGTGAAACTAAGAAGAATAAGGATTACATCTAAATGAACATTACAGAACAACTAATACATTCATTAGAAACCGAAATATAAGTATATCATCTCATAAATTGAAAACTCTATGATGCAAATGGATTCAAATTTGGCGGTGCTACAACACCCATATTTAAATTATTTTCAGAAAATAAATAATCTGAACGACTTAGACATAAATTAGAATGATGACAATCGATATGGCCATTTGATATACAGAAGCTAGTTTTTATACTTTTAAATATGTTATCGTCAGTGCAATTTTTAGAAGACTGATCAAACAAATGGATTTGTTGCTTATCTTGTTGTTGGTTCTTTTCACAATGTGCATGAACGTTTTTTCGTTGACTTAAAATATCACGTACACTTGGTCGCCGTGAAACTGCATGAGGATAAATTTCATTCAGATTGATTTTACAACTTTCAATCTCACTCTGTTTGTTTCTTTTTGGATATTGCTGTGAATAACCATGGACTGGAGAGTTTCTCATGTGAGATTTGCTATTAAATAAACATAGGTGAATCTTCTGCTCTCCCACCTAAATAAATTAAAGTAGAAAACAAATTTAACATAAAAGAGAAACTATTCGTCGTAAGATACATTAGTCACTTGCTTTTCTGTCGACCTACTTATAAGTAGTATAAAATTGTAAGCAAAAGTATATCAGGTTGAAGTTACAGGAAGCTTCAGGAAGTCTCCATGTTAGTTTTCAGTATAATTTATAAACGTTTCTCAATAGGATGGATAAAAATTTTATCCTGAATTCTTGTTCCATTCATCATCCTACCATTTGTATATCTATTTCACGATTTACATAATAAGTTTATAAAAATGGGAAAACTGAATCATAAATACCGTGTATAAGTTTTCAAACTTCTATCCACCAGATAGAACATACCATGTTGAAGTATAAACATATTTATATTCATATAATTTTTTTATCTGAGCTACCCGAAGTTTTAATAAACCTTTGAGTGAACTTATCAAAACGTAACAAACTTTGAAACGAATGCTTCAATTACAACCCTGTGTCTGTGAGTGATTCAGTGTAAAATTAAACTCAGACCTCCTCCTGGTGTTCTGTTGATCGAAGGGCCTCGCCTTATGAACCACCATGAGTGGTCGATGGAGATCAGTCAAGTCAACCACTATCTTCGTGAAACCACGTTTATCTCGTGATGGACGAACACTGGGTGGAGCATATATGCTTATGTATCCTATTTGAGATTCATGAGGCGATTTGATTTGTATCTTTAAGGTGTGTACATAGTGTGTGTTTCAGGAAAGATCCTCTGAGAAGGACTTTATTTATACTTTCCTGATAGTGCATGTGTCTCTTACCCAGTATTTTACGTATAAATATAATGTGTAGTTACATAACTGTGATTTAGTGCTACACGTTGTCTATCTTTATATGGAAATTGAGTACAATTTATATTTGTCCCAAGGACTAGCTTGTATCTACACCGTTCAACCTCAGTTGGAGATCATCTTACTCTATCGAAGTAGCATCTATACCAGTGTTTATTCTGTGGAATACAAAAGTCCATTTAGATTGAATCTTTCAGATGTCCATGAACGTATACTTATCACAAAGAGTGGTTTCCATCTTCTCTCTTGAACACAGTAGTAAATCCTAACAGTCGTCTCTAGGGGTTTCCTGACCAGTTCAGCACCCAAAACATATCTTAACCCGGGTATTTAGGCCCGCGGCAATGCATAAACACTTTCAGAAAATCCAATCGAATTATCCAATGCAGGGTTTACTAAGTTTCCTTGCTGAAAAAGGCACAGCAGTCGTGTGAAATTTATGTAAAGATTTAACTACGTCTCATATCGATTGAAACAGGGACTATCTATAATATTTATTTGTAAAGTTAATTGAAATTAGATATGATAAAAGACTTATCAAAGTTTACTGCACTTAACATTCAGCTTCGACGATAAGTGGATTAAACACGCAAGTTAATTAATAACTGTTCAGTTCAATACAAACGAGGTTTGATAAAACCCCAATTCAGCATAACTGATCGTATCTGAGCAAGTGAAATCAAGAAAAGAGAGGTGGAACTGCTAAACGAAATACTGACAGGGAATAGGTATCCTCTGAAGTTAATAAACCAATGAATATGCTACGAAAAGTTAACAACTAGTCTGTTTCTGGTATCAGAACGGTCCATCTTCATCAATCTACCATATACAGGATGAATCTGATGCCTAGAAGATATTTCAATTTAACCGTGTGAAATTAACCAGTCTATTTCATCACATTTCCTCAGTTTTACTTTGACCTTAGGTTGTCTTAATGTTATTTGTTCATTTAGTATACATATGAAATCTATGAATTTATTCTAGTAAAGCAGGGACTTCACCTCATCAACTTCGTCATGATTTTCAAGTCAACTGCAATTTTCAGGGCTTGTACAATTACTAGTCAACTTTTTAGTTGATTAAAGCCGGCTAATAAGTCCATTTATCTGGCTTTGAGCTACACGTTTATGTAAAGACTAATAACACTATCCGACTTCCCAAATATACGTAACCAAAGTGGGCTTCAAACTTAGAAACTAGTGGGTTGAATTCAAGTATTTTAATAACCAGGTCACAACTTCATTGTCAAAAAATATTGTATCTCAAGTCTAGTCCATGTATATAGACAATTGGTTAGCTAGTAAGTTTTTATTTGCTTATATCTGTGGTTTTTATGTCTTCATCTGTTTGGTTTAGTCTTCTTTTTTTCATACATACACATTTTAACAAAATAATTTGTGGTAAGATTTTTGCTGGAAATGAATTAAGCTAATAAATATCAGATGATTCTGATAAACCGCCTTTTTCATTGGATCATTCAATTTACATACAGGAACATACTGATTTTGGTGGATTCTGATTTTCTAAGCTGAGTGGAGTATTTATAAAGTTTTCACTATTTTTCTAAACAACATTATTAGCATAAACGTCAAATACAAGTGAGCTATTCAAAATTTTCTACAAATGACTAACACCTTGTTCTGTCAATCTTGAGTTTGATTGTCGATTGTTTACACTCGTCCTATGATTAGCATCAGATTTTATTCTTTTAAACACATAAATAGTCAAAAGGAAAATTTCCTGATTTAATAGATTATTCGGGTAATGTTCCATACTACAAAATACATAAAAATAAACTGTTATGGTGTTCCACTCAAAAAGGATCATGGAATCATTATCCTCGAAACATCTAGCTCAAAGGGAATAAAACATCATCAACATACAGGTAGACTTCAGCCTTCGGAAAAAGAGCTAACTATTAAAGGTGCGTGGAAAGACTTAATGGTGCGGTGTTCGATCTAGGTTGAGGTTGTGAACATGCACTGATGAAAAATTCTATACTAAAATGAACCAGTTGTCCAGTTTCGAATAATACACTAACGATTATCGATCCTTGGCGAGTACAACCTGCAAATGAGACGAAACATCTCAATTAAAACTTGAATACGTCAAGTGATTTTCACTTGTGAATTCTATTTTTTTCTCTTTTTCTCAGTATCCAAAAAAAATAAACATACTAAAGGATAAAAAATAAAAATGTTTACATACTGATAGGCATAATATGACAATTTGTCTGAAATCAGAGACTTCACTCGATCTAAACTCAGTGATTATTCTCACTCTCTCTCTCTCTTCATTAAAATCTGTCTATCTATATGTCAGTGAGTCTGAACAAGATAGAAACGGTGTTTTAATCAAAAGTTCCCTTTATCTTAAAAAGAATAACTTCATTTCATTATTTATTTGTCTAGACATCTAGAAAAAAACGTTAATCAGCTGTATATATATATGTAGAATTAATGTTATGAAAAGAATAATAAAACACAATTGTTTGCTAAAAATCAAGACGGAAAACATTCACAATCATAAAATTAAACTGATCGCAATTTTCTACTACTTTTCATCTAAACATGAATATAAATGAACACTGGCATCTATCTACCTTAACTATCTCTCTATGTCATTGTAGTACTTTTTATGTCAAGCATATAGGTGTATACTTTTATGATTCACTATATCCTCATTTTCAATCATTCTTATTATATAATCTGAACTTGATATTGAATGGAATTAATTAACTGATTAATCCATTGGTAATTTGAAATATATAAATCACAAAATTATCTTAGATCTTCGTGAATATTATATTGACTTTTTCTGGGTTAAGTAGATTGCAGCTAGCAACAAAATCCATGAAATTCATTTCGTTCTATTTGAGACTCGTCTACTGAATGAATCTTATTGTTGATGTTCTACTGTATGTGACTATCTAACATTATGTAAAATTTGTTATTAAAATGTGATATCGTGGGAATGCGTTTAAGATTCATATATTCTAATAAAGATTGATTAATTGCTGTGTTTTAACAGCAACAGGAAAATGTAAACACTCAAAATTATTGGTTGTTGTTAAACCTGGTTGTCTTTGCAACTCGCGGTTAAGAAATTTTGAAATTCATTGAAAGCTTAGTAATCCATATATTCCTAATATTAAGTCAATATTGTATTTTTATTAAGTTGAGGATAAAAATCACTCCTAAAAGATAAATTGAACGGTTCTTCTTACTCCATTTTTGACAGATTATTATTTTGCTTACGTAACAAATGGGATTGAAGTAAGACCCATAGGTCGTTGTAACGACTACGTATACCTCAATGCCACTAAATACGCATTATGTTTTTTTCGATTCACTGGAATTGTATGCTTTTTTTATTTTACTGTTCTGTATATGTCAGTTTGACTTTACTTCAATTCAAAATAGAGACCAGCTTCTTTTTAGAAAAAGCATCATACTATAGACACATAGTAACAAAAAAACTATTTAAAAACCGATCTGATTTTGTTTAGACAGTTTACTCTTACCTTTATCATTATTCAAGACATTATGATTTTTATCAGTGATAAGCATTCCATTTGGTATTCGTTGGTAAGAAAAACGTCTAATCGTTGTTTTTCTTTTACTCTAAATAAATGTTTGTCAGAGATTAATTCACATTTTGAAAATGGATTTTATTGTGAAATGATATCAGCTGAAAGTTATTTTTGAAAACTTAGAAACACTAGACAACTTTTGACTCTAGTTGGAGATATTGCAGTACAGCATACTTATGAGTTGATATAATACTAATAGTTACAATAGTTACAATAATTTACGCAAATGAAATCTTCATTATGTCGTTAAGATATGGAAATGACACAGTATGGATATAAAGAGATGTCAGAATTTTATCCTTTCTAATAATTATTATGTTGTTTCAGTAAACTAAAAAAAGAATAAGTCATATTTTCTTAGTCCATGTTTAAATCTCAGGTAAATTATGTTCACTAGAAAAATGACTCATTGCTGGTATCCGGTTTTATACATAAAATTGATATGTGGTGTACAGTTGGTTATTCCTCGATACTACTTTACTAATTCCTTGACAACTTGTTCATACTAACAACATGGAAATTAAGTATAATTGTGGAAACATTATTGATTATACTAATAATTGATTGGGAAAGAA